TTTTCACATATTCAAACCAATCAATAATTGTTAGTTCATCTAATATCTTAAACTTTTATATCATGATAGTTCCAGGAAAGTATGAGAATTTTTAATCTTTTTAAATTGATTTTATTCTCGAAGCACTTACAATCAAACTACCTCCAAAAGTAAATTAGAGATCTACTCCCTAAAACGGGTATCTTATTTCCTCAATTTTATGAATCATTATTTGTTATTATGATATTATCAAAATTTCAAATCGTTTTTATAAGGGCCATTAAAGCACTTCAAGAAAATACCAAAAACTTTCATATTAGAATATTTCAACCTAGATTTCATATTCTTTCTCTTCATCTTCGTTGTTTACAAATTTTATTTTCTTTGTTATTTTGTTTGCCTCATAATCTAAACAGTCGTAATATATAAAATTTATTTCATTGCTTCTCTTATCTCGTATGTGATGAAACTAATAAAAATTACTATCAAACAATCCAACTGGACCAGTCTAAGATATTGGACTTAGTGGATTCCAAATGCCATAGCTAAAATATTTTTCCTATTAAAATGCATCGTCCTCAATTTTTACAGATTAACGTCCTACCTAGAATAAGGGATCTAATTCTTATATTTCAAATGACTATTTTGTGTTCAAAAAGATGAAATAAATGAAAATCATCATCAATCTAAAGTAAATAAATAAATCTTGGATCTGCACCATATTCTAATTTTGTTTTAGTTAAGGAAAATCTCGTCAAATATATGACGTAAGTGAAATTGTATTATTGACCTTAAACACATACAAAAGGTTTTAATTATTAGAAGAAGTGTAGAAGAAGTTAGTTTAAAAACTCCAAAGGCTAGAATATTAAATTAAATGAACTGCATATTAAGTCAAATTCTTAAAATCAAGTTTCTTCCAAAAGGCCTATTTTGCCTGTCTTTGAGAACTAAATTTAATAATAAAACAAAATGTTCTAAAAAAATTGAAAAATTAATAAGAGGCATTTTATTTTGACACGATGCAATTAAAATAATAAACTTAATTTATTTATAAATTAAAAATACCACTCCTTAAAAGTTTTACATTAAAATTACAAAGATTTCAAATCCTAAGGATTTTTATAACAGCAGAGAATCTTTAAAAAAAGCCGATTTTTTCCATTCGTAATCTTTTTCTTCTTAAATTTGTCAAAAAGCTTGAGGAATATGCTTAACTCATTAATTTAATTCTAAAATGAATTTAAGTTAAATTAAAAAATTTCAGTAAACCTAAGAAGTTGTTGCTTTTCATAATGTACCTAATTAATCAAGCATCACAAAATCCAATTGAATGCATCAAAGGAAGACTAAAAATATTTTATAAATCAACTTCCTTCAATAACCTTTTCTTGAGATTTGATAAATTAAAGGCAATTCCATTGATTATAAATCAATAACAACTTGTTTCACATTAAATAATACATTTATTTTAAATATCAAAAATCAAGAAGCCATAATTAAAAATGATGGGAAAACACTTTGATTATACTCTTGCATGTGCCACTAAGATTAATTAAGTTGCATAAATTAGCATAATGATTAATAATAAGAGCATCTAATTTTATAGATAAATTAGCTATATAATTGGTAAAGCAATAACTCTTTTAATATTCCAAATATTTTATTAATATCTCAATATAAAGTTTAATTTTTTCTATTGTTTTTTACGTCTTCCCAATGCAAGAAATCCAAACTACTTAACTATTTCTCCTAAATTATTAATTTATTGTTCTTACTTTTTGAATATTACACGATATGAATACTCAAAAACTTCTCAATATTGTGGTTACTTTCTCACCTGAAATAATTAGAAATCCTTCATCTATGATTTCGAAATCTTAATCCTTATATAGTTAATTTTTGTTTCTAGTGTGACTTGATAAAATATGAATATGTGAATTGCGGTCAAAAATTAACTCTGTTCTATTGACAAGATTAATTCTTTTTGAAAGTGGCAGAATTTTTTTAAACTTTTAGTATCAGTTTTGATCTTATATAGTATATGGGTGATTAGTAAAATAAATTCTTCAATAAGATCTCCATATATTCCATTATATCCAATACCCAAAAAGCAAGAATTCTTTAATCTTCAGGTCTTTAATAAAAAGTTGTAATTTAATGAAGATTTATGAAAGTGTTATAAGTAAGCAAGGGGATTTTTATTTAATCGCTCTCAATTTTCAATGTTTTGGATATTCATTACATTTTAATTTAATAAGTGGCAACATCAATCGTTGCATCCTATTAAAAAATAACTCTTCTAAATCTTAAGACTCAAAACAATAATTGATACAATTAAGAGTTCTTCGTCTACTTTTCCGTCAAAATTTTAAGTCAAAATATGGATACCCCTCAATATCATATAACTATGGATAATCTTATTACAATAAAAAATAGCACTTTAAAGTTGATTCTGTATAGAATAGAAAACTTACTTTGAATTTATCAATCCTCTCCAAAACATACTAATTGAGATTTCTAACAAATTTCGTAAACTATTTTCTGTATTTCTTACATTCTATAGAAATCAGTCTTCAGACTATATATCTCATTTAATAGAAATAGAAATGCAAGCAAAGCTTAGAATTGGTTTCTCTAAGAAGTGGAGAAAACACTAACATAATTATAAAATAAAGCATTCGGATATATTTTAGGTTTCAGGTACATTTTTTAATAAAATTTTATTAAAATAACAGGCTAAATAAGATTTCAAGAATCCTTAGAAAAAAAAAAATCATAAAGTTGCTTTAATCTTTCTTCGAACTATTTAAATATTCATTATTAAGTTAAGAAAAAGAATCAATAGCTGCATAAATATTGTTATTTAATTTGCGCTATAACATTAATATGATATTAAATATCGAGAGCTTTTTAAGACTTTGAGGAAATACTAATGATTAATATCTAATAACATCTTTAGATGAAATTTGATTTGTAATAACTTTAGTCATGATTAAAACCTTCTTCTAAATAACATACTGAAAACATAATTTCTGGACTTGTAGCTTTAAATATGCTGATGAAGATAAAGGTGTTTCTAGATATAATTAGGCATTTATATCTAATGTTCTTTTGGATGATATCCTTACAGATATAAGATATTCAAACATTCATATCCTTCAAGTGTGAACCTTGAACTGTCGATACAGCTCACAG